AATGGCCGTGCTAAGGGAGGCGCAGCTTGATGACCAAATTGGTGGGCTCGAGAAAGATATTTTGAGCCTAAGTGAGCAAGTTACCGCTCTTGAGGCCGAGTAGGCACGGTTGTTGGCTCGACCTTCTTCCTCTCATTCTTCCGCTTTCCCCGACATTCCTCATGATTTATATGAGTTGTGGATCCATTCCGAAGCTAAGCTGGACATATACAGGAACTTGATGACGGCGGGGAAGGTTCCAGAGGCCGACTTCGAAGATGCCCGTGTTAAAGCATGTGATGCCAGGCTTGCTTGTGGTTATGACCCTACCACGCTGTGACCGGCGATTATGAAGAGGACTTGGACGGGCTTTTATCTGACGCTTGGTGTGACGATAAGTATGTTGATGGCATGGGTGATGGTGGAGATGGTACTGCTGGACCGGGCGGTGAAGATGGCGATGGCACAGGCGGAGATGATGTAGTGTGATACTCTTGTACTTAGTTTTTGTTCTTTTCTTTCTTTCTTCTTTTTTTTGTGGGGGAGTCTTTCTTGTCCTTTGTAAGATATTTTATTTTTTTTGGAATGGAATGACTATGACTTTTTTTTGTATTTTCTTGTCTCTTTTATCTTTTTTTCGAATGTTTTTCTTTGTAAGAGTTCTTGACTCTTAGTTAATTCGAACGTGGTCGAATGTTAAGTAATTCGAACGAAGTCGAATGTGAGTCGATTTGAGCAAGGTCGGATGTTGACCTTTAGTTGATTCGAACGAGGTCGAATGTTAATTAATTTGAGTGAAGTCGAATGCTAGTTGATTTGAACGAGGTCGAATGTTAATAAATTCGAACGAAGTCGATGTGAGTTGATTCGAGCGAGGTCGAATAATGACTCTTAGTTGATTCAAACGAGGTCAAATGTTAATTAATTCGAGCGAAGTCAAATGCTAGTTGATTCGAACGAGGTCGAATGTTAATAAATTCGAATGAAGTCGAATGTGAGTCAATTCAAGCGAGGTCGAATGTTAATTAAATCGAGCGAAGTCGGATGCTAGTTGATTCGAACGAGGTCGAATGTTAATAAATTCGAACGAAGTAAAATGTGAGTCGATTCGAGCGAGGTCGAATGTTGACTTTTAGTTGATTTGAATGAGGTCGAATGTTAATTAATTTGAGCGAAGTCGAATGCTAGTTGATTCGAACGAGGTCGAATGTTAATAAATTTGAACGAAGTCGAATGTGAGTCGATTCGAGCGAGGTCGAATGTTAGATGATTCGAACGAGGTCGAATGTGGGTCGATTTGAGTGAGGTCGAATGTTGACTCTTAGTTTGGCGTCATGTATGAACTTGGTAGAGAAATGAAAAACTCATGTATTTGCGTATTTTGCTTTGTTTATACATTCATTGGAGAAGTTTACATGTTTTTGCTCTGTTCATGCATACATTGGAGAAGTCCCAGTCTATCTAGTACCTTCATTGGTCGACCTGGAAAAGTAGTTGAGAGGTCGAGCGATAACGTTATACTTAACTTTGAGACGCTCTCTTTGTCGCCTCGTTAAAAACCTCCCCGAGAAAACCCAATTGGGGCAAAACTCGGGTAAGGGAAAAAAGAGTATGACTCGGGAGACGTCTATCCTTAGAAGTTGAAGTATTTGAGGTGGGCAACGTTCCAATTGTTTGGTAGTAGTTTTCCCTCCATTTTTTCTAGCTGGAATGACCCTTTTCTTACCGCCGCCGTGATTTTGTATGGGTCGTCCCAATTGGTTCCAAGTTTGCCTTCTCGTGGGTCTTTGCTTGCTTGTGTTATGGCTTTGAGTACATAGTCCTCGACTTTGAGTGGCCTGATCTTGGATTTTTTGTTGTAGTACCGATCTGCCTGTTGTTTTTGAGCTATCATTCTTACGTAGGCATGTTTCTCCGCTCTTCGACTTCGTCGAGGACTTGCCTTCTGTTTTCATCGTTTCTTGGCCCGCTCTCGCTTGAATACCTTAGGATTGGTTCATCGAATTCGACCGGTATTATTGCATCAGTCCCATAGACTAGTGAATATGGTATTTCTCCTGTGCTTGTTTTCGGCGTAGTGCGGTATGCCTATAGCACTTCTGCCAGTAGTTCCGGCCACAATCCCTTGGCATTCTCGAGCTTCTTTTTCATGATGTTCAATATTTTTTTGTTGGAGGATTCCGCCTGACCGTTGCTTGTGGGATGATATGGCGTGGAGAGTATTCTTTTGATGTGCCATTTTTCAAAGAACTCGACGGTCTTTTTTCTAGTGAACTGGGGTCCGTTGTCGCAACTGATTTCTTTGGGGATGCCGAAGCGGCATATGATGTTTTTCCATATGAATGTGATTACTTCTTGCTTGCGTATTTGGGCGAATGCACCTGCTTCTACCCACTTGGAGAAAAAGTCAGTTAAAACTAAAAGAAATCGTACATTACCTCATCCCGCTGGGAGGGGTCCGACGATGTCCATTCCCCATTTGATGAAAGGCCACGGCGAGGTGACCGAATGAAGTTGCTCGCCCGCTTGGTGAATCATGGGGGCATATTTTTGGCATTGCTCGCACCTTCTGACGAAGTCGGCAGCCTCCTTTTTCATTGTGGACCAATAGTAGCTTGCTCGTATGAGGCATCTAATGAGAGCTCGATTGCTGGTGTGAGCTCCGGAGTCGCCTTCGTGTACTTCTTCGAGGACACGCCGTGTTTGATTTGGTCCTAAGCACTTTGCTAGGGGACCACCAAACGTTCTTTTGTACAAGTCGTTATTGACAATGTTGTACCTGACCGCCTGCATTCGAAGCTTCTTGGCTTCTTTTTTATTGGGTGGGAGCGCTCCGTCCTGCAAGTATGAGAAAATACGATTGCGCCTGTCCCAAGTCAGGTTTATAGATCGTACCTCGATTTAATCTATTGATGAACGGAGGAGAGTGACCATGTCCCCCTCTCTGGTTATGCTTTTGGTGGTCGCTGCCAGTTTAGCGAGGCCATCCGCTTTGATGTTCTGCACTCGAGGTATTTGTTCGAGCTGGCATTCGTTGAACTCGGGTAGTAGTTTGCAAATTTCGGCCTAGTATTTTTGTAGCCGTTGCTCCTTAACTTGGAAAGTCCATGTAACTTGGTTGATGACGAGTTGCAAGTCACATCGAAGGATTACTCGCCGTGCTCCGTACTTGAGTGCCAACTTTAACCCTGCAATCATGGCCTCATACTCGTCCTCATTGTTAGTCATATCAGGGCATCGTATAGACTGGAAAACTATTTCACGTGTTGGGACTTCGAGCACGAGTTCCAGTCCAGATCCTGATGCGTTAGAAGTGCCATCGGTATACAAAACCCATTGGTCGTGTATTTTGGTGGAAGTACTGGCCGTTTCCCTTTCGACTTCGGACATTATCTTCGCACTGAAGTCGGCGACGAAGTCGGTAAGAACTTGCGACTTTATCGCCGTTCGTGACTGATAGGTTATATCGTGCTCGCTTAGCTCTACGGCCCACTTGGCTAGTCTGCCCGACAATTCGGGTTTGTGCAGGATACTCTTTAAGGGAAAAGTCGTGACCACCAAGATGGGGTGGCACCAGAAATAAGTTCTAAGCTTTCGTAAAGCTACGACCAAGGCCAGAGCTAAATCCTCGTGGTGGGGGTACCTCGTTTCAGCGTCGACCAATGTTTTGCTAATGTAATAGATTGGAGACTACGTACCTTTTGCACTTACAGCGACATTAGACACGGTCAGGTACACAAGAAGGCGCTCTCCGGGTTCTGCTTTAGCGAGCAGCGGTGGCGAAGACAAGTAGGCCTTTAGTTCTTTCAAGGCGTTTACACACTCAAAATTCCATTGGAGCCTCTTATCCTTTTTGAGTACGCCAAAAAATTTGTAGCACCTATCGGAGGACCGCGAGATGAATCTTGGCAGGGCGGCTATTCGGCCGGTTAGCTTTTTGCACTTGTTTTTTGCTGGTTAGATTTTTTAGGATTCCTTCTATGGCCTTAATTTGTTCGGGACCTCGATGCCTCGTTGTGATGCCAAAAAGCCAAGGAATTTTCCAGATGTTACGCCGAAAACACATTTTTCGGGGTTTAATTTCATGTCGTACCTTCTCAGTATGTCGAAGGCTTCCCTCAAGTGGTCGATATGGTCTTCCTTCCTTTTTGACTTGACCAAAATTTCGTCTATATATACTTCCATGGTCTTGCCACGTTGATCTTTGAACATTTTGGTCGCTAGCCTCTGGTACGTTGCCCCTGCGTTTTTTAACCCAAACGACATCACCCTGTAGCAATATGTCCCCTTGTGTGTGATGAAGTTGGTTTTTTCCTGGTCTTCCTCCTCCATGAGGATTTGGTTGTAGCCCAATTAGGCGTCCAAGAAGCTCAGTAGTTCGCGATTGTAGAGTCAATGAGTAGGTCGATGTAGGGCACCGGGAACGAGTCTTTTGGGCAGGCTTTGTTCAGATCAGTGAAGTCTATGCACATCCGCCACTTACCGTTCTTCTTTTTCACCATGACCATATGGCGACCCACTGAGGGTACTTCGATTCTCTTATAGAACCGTTTACTAACAATTTTTTGACTTCTTCACGAACCGCGCCATTTATTGCAGAGTTGAACTTTCGCCTAATTTGCCTTACTGGGTTAAAATGGGTCGACGTTCAAATTGTGAGTTTCTATCTCCTTTGGGATACCTGGCATGTCTGCATGGGTAAAAGCAAACAGGTCTACGTTACTTTTTAAGAATTGGTGAAATTTACCTGGATCTTGGAGCTTATGGGCGATGATAGCTTTCTTGTTGTGGTCGTCGTCATCTAATTGGAGGGGGTCGAGGTCCTCTACAGTTGACCCTGTGGCTTCTATGATTTCAGGGTCTCTGATGACGTCTTTCCTTTCATCGTCATCTGACACCGACTTTGTTAACTGCTATGCTTCCTCGGCCTTTCCCTTTAATTGTTGGGTGTATGTGCAGTCTTGGGCGATGCGGCAGCATTCTCGGGCCATGCGTTGCTCTCCCCGGATGCAGAATACTCCTCAAGAGGTGGGAAGTTTAATGACTTGGTATAAGCTGGAGGGGACGGCTTTCATGGCATGTATCCACGGTCGGCCTATGATGGCATTATATGCCGTATCCTGGTCCACGATATGGAACGTGGTCTCCAAAGTGACTCCGCCGACCAGGATGGGCAGTTTGATTTCTCTAGATGTCCGCACAACTGCATTGTTAAAGAATGTCAGCGTGATGCAACGTGGCACTATCTTGTCCTCGAGCTTCATTTGGGTCAGAACTCGAGGATGGATGATGCACGCGCTGCTTCCGTCATCAACCATAATACATCTTACTTTAGTATCAAAAACACGTAAAGTAATGACAAGAGCGTCATAGTGAGGAAAGACCAAACCATGGGTATCTAACTTATCAAAGATGATACTTTCTTCGAGTTCGTCATACTGTTCGTGGGTGATGGACCGCTTGAGTTTGTGGGTGGTGGTGAACTTTACGCTGCTGATAGATGCGTCATCGCCTCCCTGGTGTTGTTCCCATCCTCGGGCGAAATTGGCCCTCCCACGCTCGCTCATCAGCTCTTTCAGGTTCCCTTGATGAACCATGTCCACGACCTCCTGTCTAAGGGCGATGCAGTCCTCGGTTTTATGACCCCATTCCTGATGGAATTCAAAGAGAGCGTTCGACTTTCTGGTGCTCGGGTCGGATTTCATCTTCTGTGGCCATTTCACCTTTGTGCCGAGCTTCTCCAGCGCGTAGACTATTTCTGAGGGGGAAACACAAAAATTGTGAGATGATAATAAGGAGGGCGTACCTCTTTCATTTCAGTGCCGTTCGCGGCCTGGATGGACCTTTATCGTGGTGTGGAGGCGGCATGAGGGTGCCTCTGACATATGGCTGATGTCTTTCTCGATTAGGCCGAGATCCCGATAGATCCCTCCTACTGTCGTTTCTCCGGTCTTTCTTAGACTCCATTTGGACCGAGATCAGACGTTGGGTAGGTCCGTTGAGATCGTCCTCGTCGGCTCTTACCTCGGCACAGTAGGCGTTGTGTATCTCATCCCAAGTGGTTGGATGGTATTTCATGAGTCGGCTCATCAACTTTTTGGTCGCCCGCAATCCACTTCGACTTAGCCCTTTCTTGAAAGCGGCTACCGCCATTCCTTTAGGTACATTCGTAAGGGTCATTCTCACATGATTGAACAGGGCGAGGAAGTCCCTGAGCCCTTCGCCAAACGACTGCTTAATGGAAAATATGTCGTTCACCTTCGCTTCTGCTTTTTTGGCCCCGGCATGGGCGGTGATGAACTTTTCTGCCATTTCCTAGAACGTTTCTATGGAGCGCGCAGGTAATTGTGAGTACCAAGTCAGGGCTCCGTCGGTTAGGGTCTCTCCAAACTTCTTCAGCAATATGGATGATACTTGTTCTTTTGCGAGGTCATTGCCTTTTACTGCAGTGACATAGTGGGTCACATGATCCTCTGGGTCCGTCACGCCGTCATATATTTTCATGTGTGGTGGCCTTTTGAAGGTATTTGGTATGGCATGTGGTGCAGCCTCGTCGCTATATGGTTGCTCGACAAACCGACCAGCGTCTCTTTTTGGCAGAAGTTTTGGGGCACCTGGTTTTTTGTCTAACCTTTCTTGGTGCTCTTTCAATTGGCTGCGGAGCATCTTGTTCTCGTTCTCCATCTCCTCCATTTTCCTCAAAATGGCTATGAGGGTGTCATTACATGCATCACTAACATTGTGAATAATACCTGGTGCGGGGGGAGCGTGTTGTTTGTCAGCTGCTAGTGCGACACCAGCTCTTGTTTCTTCCCTATTCGACCTTCGAGCGGGCTTGTCGAGGAAGCCGGTTAGCGTATTTGTCAACCATGACTCAAGTAACTTTTTCACTGCTGGTGGTGCCTCTTCTATAGTTGATGTAGAGGCGCCCTTTCCGTGCTAGGTTGTGACGCTATCGGGAGGTGGAGGCGAGTTGTTTCACCTGGGGGAGGTGTTTAGTGTTATGCCTTCACCCTCCGCTTCATCTACTTCGTTAATGGTGTTGAGGAGATTGGCGGTGAGATCGGCTATCGCCTTTCTCTTTTCCTCTCCGTTGCCTGCCATGTCAGATTTGCGCAAACAAGGAAATACGAGATTTTGTAATTTTTCGTGTGTGTTTTTTTAGATCTAGAAGAAACTAAATTTTTAACTAGAAAGTCCCCAAAGACGGCGCCAAATTGTTTGACCAAAAAGTGTTAAACCTTTTTGTTAAACTAATTAAATAAAATGATAACAGACAAATTCTAGTTAAATATAATAAATCCAAGATCTAAGATTAATGGATGTCAATAATGTAAAAATAGCATTCAAGGTTATTAAATACCAAGGGGGAGAAACCCGGAAATTTTGTTCAGTTAAACACCGGCAGCATTGGCACCGGCGGAGAAACCCGGAAAATTTTCCGGGATTGATTTCAAGCGCTGGCAGCAAAAGATGTTCTTCTATTTGACTACTCTAAGTCTTCAGAAGTTCATCAAGGATGATGTTCCTGTGTTGTCCGACGAAACTCCAGAAACTGAACGCTTTCTCGTGATTGAGGCGTGGAAGCATACAGATTTTTTCTGCAAGAATTATATTCTAAGAGGGCTGGAGGATGCTTTGTATAACGTCTACAGTGGCGTGGAAACGTCAAAAGAATTGTGGACTGCGCTTGAAAAGAAATACAAAACTGAAGATGCCGGGTTGAAGAAGTTCGTTGCTGCAAAGTTTTTGGACTACAAAATGGTAGATAGCAAGTCTGTTATTACCCAAGTCCAGGGATTGCAAGTGATTATTCATGATCTCCTTGCTGAAAGTATAAATCAAATTAATACTGATGTTGAAAGTAGTAATCTAAGTATTTTTACTAACAGAAATTTCATTGAAGGTCTTGTCATCAATGAAGCATTCCAAGTAGCAGCGATGATTGAGAAGTTGCCTCCTTTGTGGAAGGACTTCAAAAACTACTTGAAACACAAACGCAAGGAGATGTCCCTTGAAGATCTCATTGTTCGGTTGAGAATCGAAGAGGACAATAAAGCTGCTGAAAAGAGAGGCTGTGGAAACTCAACAATATTGGGAGCAAATATTGTTGAAGAGAACAAAAAGAGGAAGAAGGATTCTGGACCGAAATACAACCCAAGCAAGAAGCGGTTCAGTGGAAATTGCTACAACTGTGGAAAAGCCGGACACAAATCTACGAAGTGTCGTGCTCCGAAGAAAGACAAGAAGAAGGTCCAAGCAAACATGGTTGAAAAGCATGATGATGTTGATGACTTATGTGACATGCTTTCCGAATGCAACTTGGTGGGCAATCCTAAAGAGTGGTGGATTGATTCTGGAGCCACTCGCCATGTTTGTGCTGTTAGAGAAGCTTTTGCTACTTATGCTCCTGTTGGACCCGATGAGACGCTTTCTATGGGAAATGCTGCAAAGGCCAAGATTGAAGGATGTGGGAAGATATTTCTCAAAATGACTTTCGGCAAAGTGGTGACTTTGAACAACGTCCTTCATGTTCCCGAGATTAGGAAGAATTTAGTCTCTGCTGGACTTCTTGTTAAGAATGGTTTTAAATGTGTTTTTGTTTCCGATAAGGTTGTAATAAGTAAGAACAAAATTTTTGTAGGAAAAGATTACCTCACTAAGGGCCTTTTCAAGCTGAATGTAATGGTTGTTGAAAATAATAATAAAATTTCAGCTTCGTCTTACTTACTTGAGTCAAATGAATTATGGCATATACGTTTGGGTCATGTTAATTATAAAACCTTGCGAAAAATGATTAATTTGGAAGTATTGCCTAAATTTGAATGCGACAAATCAAAATGTCAAATATGTGTGGAATCTAAGTATGTTAAACATCCTTACAAGTCAGTTGAAAGGAATTCAGATCCTTTAGACTTAATTCACACAGATATTTGCGATATGAAGTTAATACTATCTCGCAGTGGAAAGAAGTATTTCAGAACTTTTATTGACGATAGTACTCGATATTGCTATGTTTACTTACTTAATAGTAAAAATGAAGCAATAGACGCATTCAAGCAATACAAAAATGAAGGTGAAACGCAACTTAACAAGAAAATCAAAATGATAAGAAGTGATAGGGGTGGTGAATATGAATCTCCTTTTGAACAAATATGTTTAGAATATGGAATTATTCATAAAACAACGGCTCCATACACGCCCCAATCCAATGGGATTGTAGAAAGAAAGAATCATTCATTAAATGAGATGATGAACGCATTATTGATAAGTTCTGGTTTGCCACAGAACTTGTGGGGGGAAGCCGTTCTTACGGCTAGCCGAATACTAAATCGAGTACCCCATAGCAAAACACAATCCATTTCATATGAAAAATGGAAAGGAAGGAAGCTCAACTTGAATTATTTTAAAGTGTGGGGGTGTTTGGCAAAAGTGCAAGTTCCTAAACCCAAAAGGGTAAAAATAGGACCGAAAACCGTTGATTGTGTTTTCATAGGATATGTGACTAATAGTAAAGCATATCGATTTCTGGTTCATAAATCAGAAAATCCCGACATTCATAATAACACGGTTATAGAATCAGATAATGCTGAATTCTTTGAAAATATATATCCATATAAAAAGGAGTGTGAGTCGATTGGTGAAGGATCTAAACGACCTCGGGAAGAAATAAAAGAAAGTACACTTAACCAGGAGGATCTAAGACGTAGTAAACGTCAAAGAACGTCTACTTTATTTGGACCAGATTTTGTGACTTTCTTATTGGAAAATGAGCCTCGAACATTTAAAGAAGCTATGTCTTCTTCGGAATCATTGTTATGAAAAGAGGCAATCAATAGTGAAATAGAATCCATACTGAACAACATACATGGGAATTGATTGATCTTCCTCCTGGAAATAAACCGTTGGGTTCTAAATGGATCTTTAAGAGGAAAATGAAAGATGATGGAACTATTGATAAGTATAAGGCAAGACTTGTGGTCAAAGGGTATAGAAAACGAGAAGGCCTTGACTATTTTGATACATACTCTCCAGTTACAAGAATTACGTCCATACGAACATTAGTAGCGTTAGCTGCAGTTTATGATCTTGAAATTCATCAAATGGATGTTAAGACGGCCTTCTTAATTGGAGAGTTGGAGGAAGAAATCTACATGGAACAACCTGAAGAGTTTGTGGTTCCAGGTAAAGAAAAGAAGGTCCGTGGACTTGTTAAGTCCCTTTACGGATTAAAACAAGCGCCCAAACAATGGCATGCTAAATTTGACCAAACAATGTTGTCAAATGGATTTAAGATAAATGAATGTGATAAATGTGTGTACATTAAAAATGTTCCAAATCACATAGTCATTGTTTGCTTATATGTGGATGATATGCTCATAATGAGTAATGATATTGCCAATATAAATGCTACTAAGTGTATGCTAACTAGCAAGTTTGATATGAAAGACTTGGGAGTTGCTGATTTAATTCTGGGAATTAAGATCCATAAGACTTCTCAAGGTCTAGCATTGTCACAATCTCATTATGTTAAGACAGTACTTGAAAAATTCAAGCACTTGGGCTTTAAAGTTGCAAAGACTCCAATTGATGTGAATCTTGCATTAGCAAAGAACAAAGGCCAGAGCATATCACAATTGGATTATGCTCGTGTGTTGGGTTGCTTAATGTACATCATGAATTGTACACGACCAGATATAGCTTGTGCTATAAGTAAATTGAGTCGATATACGAGCAATCCAGGCCAATCTCATTGGATGGCCATGAAACGAGTTTTGGGGTATTTAGTACATACCCAGGACTTTGCTTTGCACTACAATAAATATCCTGCGATCATTGAGGGATACTGTGATGCAAATTGGATCACCGGATCAACTGATTCCAAGTCCACAAGTGGTATGTATTCACTATTGGTGGAGGAGCGGTATCTTGGAAGTCATCCAAACAAACTTGTATTGCCCGCTCTACAATGGAGGCTGAGTTCATAGCCTTGGATAAAGCCGGTGAAGAAGCTGAATGGCTCCGGAATTTCTTGGAAGATATTCCATTTTGGCCCAAACCGTTGGCACCAATATGCATACATTGTGATAGTCAAGCGGCAATTGGAAGGGCTGGGAGCGTTATGTATAACGGTAAGTCTCGCCATATACGACGAAGACATAAAACCGTTAGACAATTACTCTCTAGAGGAATTATCACGATTGACTATGTAAAGTCAAGTGATAATGTGTCGGATCCACTTACAAAAGGCCTAACTAGAGAGGTAGTTGAGAAGTCATCAAGGGGAATGGGACTGTGGCCGAGAACAAGTC